TCCGTGAGCTCTGCATCAGTGTCCAGGGTTCCACATCCGTGAGCTCTGCATCAGTGTTCAAGCAAGCTGCAGCCTGGTACGCTCCGCCAGGTTCTAGGCGATGGAAGGTTCTGGAAAGTGGATCATTTCCCCCCCTCTGGTAGACAGTCTACGTTTTAGATGGTGCATGTATTGCATGTGTGGTGTCTGTGTGTTTGACATCTACATATATAGCTTGTGGTACAAAAATCGTGAAAACTTTCATTTTCCCTAAGGCTTATGTCCAAGTGCTTGTGCCTTGAATGCAGATTATAATAAACAGAGGCAGTCTGTGTCTGGAAACGCTGGACATCTCTGCCTGAGTTAGCGCTCTTGTTCCAGGCCTCAGGGGACCAAGACAGAGGGTGTTTTTCTACTTTGCCCTGGAGCCCCTGAGCCTTTGCAGATTGACATAGCTGCTTTTCTCCGTGTGCAGGATCTTGCCTCCAGCCCCCCGCAGCTGTGGGGCCGGTGGGGGAAGGTAGAGAGAAGTGGGAAGGAGATCTATGATTGAACCTCTGCTGTCAAACACGGTGTTGGATGCCGTACTTGGATTGCACGGGATCTTTCGCACAGCCGTGGAGAGTAGGTATTTTATAAGGGAGGCAGTGTAGCGCTTCAGAGCTCAGACTTTAGAGCCAGTCCACCAGGATTTTGTTATCAGTTGGCCACTTTTTTTTACAGTATGTGACTTCCCAGTGCCTCAGTTTCCCCATAGGTAAGGGGAGTGTAATACTGGCCTGACCTCAATTGTTCGTTGTTGAGATTAAATAAAGAACTGTGGGGTGCTTACGAGAATGCCTACCGTACAGCAGCAGGTAAATACTTGTTAAATAAAGGGGATAGAAATAGAGGTTCATTGCCCTGTTCGCAGAGCAAAGTGGCTGGGTGAGGTCAGAACTTGGGTCTCTCGGCTTGAAGCAGGTGATTGTTCTAGCTCACTGCTCACCATCCTTCCTTGCTTTTCTTCCCCATTTTGTTTGACTTGTATCCTGAGTCCAATCTGTTCCTTCCTCCTCACCTTGCCAGATCTGGGGGTGGGGCTGGGGTCGTCCCTCTATCATCCTGGTTTTCCCTGTGGTTGGACCTTGTCAAGACATCCTAGGGCCCACGACTTAGAGCTTGAATGTTAAAGGTGGTCCACGGAGGCAGGTGATAGGACTTTGGGGTTGCATGGACCATTTTAGATGCATGGTCAGTCTCTTAGGATAGAAAAAACGATCGTTTGTGTCGTGTGTGTGTGTGTGTGTGTGTGTGTGTGTGTGTCGCTTCCTTTCCTCCCTCAAACATGGAAGCATCCTGTGAGCAGAGTCTGTGCCCCAGACTTCCTATTGTACTTGCTCCAAGCATTTGGCTTTCTGCTGAGCACGGAGATAGCAGCTCAGGGGTGTTTGAATCGAGGAAGGAGAGCACCACGTTTCACGGCCTTTTCCTGTCTCTAAACATAAAATGCCATGGGGCAGTCTTTTTCCTTTTTACGGTGGCAGGTTCAAGAGTTTATGGATTTGGCGATCTTTGACCTGCCCTGTCTTCCCCTGGCCACTTCTCCCAGAGTTTCTGGCATAAGCTTGTGTCCTTCTCTTGCAGGTCTCCAAATGCTGTGAAGTTGGCTTGAACCTGTGAACCTTCTGCCAGCTCTCCATCTTTTACACTCTCTTAAGAAATGCTGCTAAAGATGTAGACCGTATTTACAAAGTCCTTAGGTGTGGCCGTGAGGGACATAGCGTTCGGTCTCCAGAACCGAAACTATAGAAGGGGTTTGATGACTGTTGCCTTGGTCCCGCCTAACTCACCTACCCGTGCCCAGTTGATCTTGGACGGGCGTTTTCAGGAACGTTAACGTTTATGTAAACTGCAGTGGGGTTTTCGACTAAGGATACAGGGTCCTTAAGGCAAGACAACACTATTAATAGCGTGTGGATGTGTGTGGTTTATTTTTGTTTTCAAAATGGAAATGTCTCTTTGGGGTTTTGGCATATGCTCTTGGATATGTGGAAAGATGAGAAAACATCATTTGGGAAACTCAGCACTCCTACCATATTAGGAAATTTACAGTGCCTCGGATTTCACATTTAATGTTTTAATTGCCTGGTTTGGTAGTAGAAAAATCTCAAACGTCTCTCTTTTCATTTGAAGCTGCCACCACTTTCCCCCCCACCCCTCTCCAGCAGTGGACTACAGCCAGCTTCTCCTTCCTGCTCCAGCCCCAGCATATGGCCCGAGCAGTTGTCCTGAGAACACAGTTCATCACGTGGAGATGTTGACTTCTGACATAGGCCGTTGTTTCCTGTGTCGCTTGTAAATATCCTAGAGGTGCAACGAAAATGGAGTTGTATTTTCGAAATTTTGAAGACCTGTTGGAATAGAGGGTGCTCCTCCAAACCTTCTGTAAGGTCCATGAGAGGTGAAAGAGAATTTTGCCATCGTGGTCGGGGGACAGCATCGAAGACCCATGCCTGTACGATAAGAGACACACAGATGGAGACCGCATGGCAGAGTGGAGAATGAACAGAAGTTGAATGGTCCATGGAGTTGAGGCCTTTTGAAAAAATCAAGATGTAAAATAAAATGGGCATTTACTCTTCTTGTTAAATACCTTCTTATGGAAGAAATAGTAGTTCGAGGATTTCTCAAAGTCATTTCTTGGACAAAAAAACGGGAAGGGAATAAGCTTATACATCTTCAGCGTCACACATGGTCACAGGTTCAGAAGGAAATGCGCTCATATCTGGGGAACCGAGGCTTCATCACCAGGCAGCTGAGAGAGGGGATTGTGTTCACTTTTCATGGACCACTCGAAATAGAATTCCAATTAAAATGTATTTCATATTTCAACAGCCCAGTGTAATTTTTAATCATAGAGTAATCCATGCTTCGTGTAGAAAATGTGGGAAATACAGGAAGACTTCCAGAAGAAAATAAAAATAACCTATAATTATGTAAACCAGAGAGAATCGGGAGATATTTTTTAGTGTTTGTTTCTTTGTGCTTATGTCTCTGTGCGTTTTTTTGCAAGTAGGATCTGCGTATAAATAATTTTTGAGTTCTCATTTTCTTTCTGTAATAATAAATATGGTACTTAATGGTCGCATTGTAATTCTTGATACGGTTAGCCCAGAACTTTCTTACGGGATCTCTGCTGTGCTGGCTGTGGTGGCGGTAGTTTGTAGCATGAGGTTAAGCAGTACGGCAAAGAGCATGGGGAACTGAGTGCTCAGCAAAATGCTGTCGGTTGATTTCCCTGGTGGGAGTTTTTCTTTGTTGTCTGTAGCTCCTCTTGTTTTCCCATTTCTTCTATCTTCTCATTCATTTTCCTATACGGGACTGAGTCTCATTTGGCGTCCCTGTTTCCCGCTTGACTCCCTCTCTCTGGAGCGTTACCCCATGCCCTCCTGATAATGTATCGTTTTCTACTACCACAGGATTTGAAGTCTTCAGAAACGGAGCAGCTAGCTACTTTTTCCTCGTCCTTTCTCATTTGTCTATTTTTGTTTTCTTGGTAGCCTAATTAGTGCTGTTTTCGAATTCTTTTTTAAAAAAACTTTTTCTTAATGCTTATTTTTGAGAGCGAGTGAGCAGAGGGAGGGGAACACAGAATCCAAAGCAGGCTCCGGGCTCTGAGCTATTAGCACAGAGCCCGAGGCGGGGCTCGAACCCATGAAGTACGAGATCATGACCTTAGCCAAGTCGGATGCTCAACCGCCTCAGCCACCCAGGCGTCCCTATTTTCTTATTCTTAATATAGTTTTTACCTCTTACTCTCTTTGGCAGATCCCCACATTTTGTAACCCAGATTTGGCTCTGTTTTTTGTGGGAAGTCCTCTCCACACTTTAGAAAGGGGATGTGGCCTGTATACGTGCAGAGTTGAGAGGTGAAGCTTGAACAGTGAAATGTGGGTCCTTCATGCACTAGGAGAGCAGGAGGAGAGAGATGGGTGTGAACCAGTTTACTCAAGGAAGGCTTCACAGAGGGGCGCCTGGCTGGCTCAGTCAGAAGAGCAGGTGACTCTTGATCTTGGGGTTGTGAGTTTGAGCCTTACTTTAAAAAAAAAAAAAAAAAAAAAAAGGAGGCTTCATAGATGTGAGTGCATTTACTGGGGGTATGAAAGGATGGTTGGATGTACACGGAGGACCGGGAAAGAGCGGGTATTTCATGATTGGGAAAGGAATAAACAGAACCCCCAGGACTATTAGTAGCAGGTGTTTGGTGGAAATGAACGTGGCAGGTAAGTGCAAAGTTGAGGATATAAGAATGTCTGTGCTCACAGTGAACAAAAGGGGAACATAATGACCTCTCGGAAGTCAGTATATGCTCCCTCTGTGTGGAAGCCCACCGTGAATTTCTGTAACCCTTGGCTAGACCCACTCCCTGGTTCTCTTCCAGTTCCCGACTGCTGCTCTCCCTGCAGGAACAATCCTGGCTCCTCCTCTCTTCCTTAGCCTCCCACTGGAAATGCCATTAAGTATAGACAATACAGTTTTCCCAAAGAATTTCCCAAACACAGTCTCATCGGATGCTTATGATAATCTGGGGCAGGCACTGTTGCACCCATTGAAAAGCAGGAATCTGAGTGTCCTTGAAGCTAAACACTCCTGAAGCCACAAAAGGCACCAGTGGCCTGTGAGGCTCAGGCCCAGGTGTGGCCAGCGCTCCTTGTGATCAGTCACACCAACTACCATTTAGGCCCCTCTGTTGTTCACGTGCTCATTGGCTGGTTTCGGGCATGTTTGGCACATCTCGAATGAGCACCTCCAATCGGCTGGGCCCCAAGCCAAGACAGAGAGGAACCCTCCCTCTGTGTTCCCCCTTCAAGGCAGATGGGATTATAGATGCAAAGCTGATAGTTGAAGTTTTGCGTGGTGGTGGCGTGGATGCGTCTAGAAGGACTTTCAGGCTGAAATTTTGGCAGGGACTTAGGTTCCCGGGAGGGGAAGTGGTGTCTTCACCGAGATATTGAGGAAAGGGTTAAGCGTTCCTTCCAGGAATAGGTAATGTAAAGGGGTAAAAGTTGACAGAGGACAGTGGTCTATCTGGGCACGTAAAAAACAGTCGAATTTGCCGGGAATCTGGGGTGCAAATTAGCAAAGGGCGGAAGATGAAACTGAAGAGGTGGGCAGATCACGTGTGGCTTCAGAAACTATGGTTAGAGACTTGACCTTCTGGGCACCATGAGGGACCTTGTCAAAGGCACAGAGCCCGAGTGACGTGACCACATTGGCCACGTGGGAAGGCTCCTCTGATGCAACGGGAAGGCATCATGTGCCAAAGAAGAACCATTAGCAGAGGTAAGAAGGTAATGTTCTCTTCCTCAGACTCTGGAGGAGTCAGAGGGCCTCTTCTGGAGCGAAGCTACGTACGATGGTGGGTGGAGAAAGGGGAGTTTGCTGTCTTCTGTGATTTGGAGCCAAAGGCACGTTCTTGGCTCAGTTCTTTGTAACATCTGTGAATCTTAAGTTAGAAAAATGGCTTCGAAATCCTTAATGTCAACACAGACCTGGCATTTGAACTACCTTTCTCCAGATCCAGATAATCAAGACCAGTTTTGATTTCATTAAAATTGTATCCTTGTTTTGTCTTCAAGCCATGGGTCTAAAAACGCAAGCTGTTTAAGAACATACGTACCTTCCTAGAAGTTGAGAATAATGGCAAAGCATCTCTATAGAGCTAACATTCATAAAAAGGTTGTAAAATAAAACATAGCCCAGAAGCTTTTCATTAAGGCTTGGGTTCACTGGTGAGCGTGTGCAGCATGGTCCAGCCAAGGAGCTTGGTGAAAACATCTGCTTCGGTCAGACGGGCAGTGCGGTCAGGCTGGTCAGTGTACCTGGACCTTTGCCTAATAGAGCTGCTTCTGTCTTCGTAAGGAAAATACTCTTCTTTTGTGGTCCTTTCTACATTTTTCTCCTAAGCAACTCCCTTTAGAGACTAATTTATCCTTCCCTTTTCTTTCAGAAAGAGAGATGGTGGGTAATCCCAGAGAGCTGGTGGGAAGGAGCCACCTGTAAGCTTAGGGTCCTTCTAGTCCCTGGAGAGCTCTGAACTTGCCTGTTCTCCCTCAGGTGGCTCATTGTTTCTGTTACCTGGATAGAAGGCGTATGTGACTCCCCTGTCTGCCTGGCAGTCTCGTTGCCATGGAAACTTCCATTCCACACACCTGATTGACACATCACGCTTGGCCAAGTCCAGACAGAGGTCACAGCCTGGCATTTGTCCTTTGTTTCCCCTTCTTGTGTATCCAGGCACTTAAAAACGGGTAGAGGGATGAGAGGGTGGGTAGTGTTGTGTGAGGAAGCTTTGTTGTCCAGGGTACAAATTTGGGAGTTTTAGGAATGATCCTTGTTAAGGGAAGAGCAGATCAAATGGAAAAGTCGGTACACTTTTCAGCCTCTCATGAAAGGAGAGGCTTTGATTCAATGAAAAGTCTGCAGGTGATGTTCCAGGTTTTTGGGCGACCTAGGAATAGAACAGATTAGGGAAGCTGTTGTTCCTTAGCAGGTTTTCTGTCCCATTTTTACCGAATTATCCAATAATCTGAAGTCATGGTGTACACGTTAAGACTGTGACCTGGGTTTAGACCAACCATGAATTACAGCTGTGTGTTAAGAATCAAGTCCTCCGATGATGATGTTTAGAACATTGGTTGACTTTTACGTAATATACAGTATTTCAGAAAGCACAAAGTTTTGCGGTAGGTGTCACTAAGGGTCAATATGCTTGCTGGAATATGATTGTTTCCCCCATGATTTCTTTCTTCCTCTTGGATATCTCCTTTCATACATGACCTAGAGAAAAGACCTGGTAAGAGGGGAGATTAACCTACTTTCCCAGCCAGAATTTCTCTTCCATAGATTGAGAAGTTTTCTTTTGTTTCCTGCTTATGAGGTCCTGTTTCAGAAATTGAAAGACTTTCACCTTGACATGCTAACCAGGCTTCCTAAAACATTAGGTTTCAAAACCTCTATGTGGGGTAGTTAGGTGTCCCGTATGGGTGATGGAGTTAGCGAGTCACTGGCTACTTGGCATTACTCCCGCTTGCTCTCCTGTTTCTCCAGTTTGCTAGTTTACCTCCTATTTGGATGGCCTTGGTTTGCAGACCGTGCCCTCAACAGCAGTTATGAGCTCTAGTTTGGACTCCACCAGACTGGAGTGAAGAATCTCCTCTCTCTTGTATTCTTGAACATGTGCTTTTTAAAGACTTTATTTTTTAAAAATCAATTTTATTTTGAGAGAGAGCATGCATGCACGTGTGTGAGCAGGGGAGGGGCAGAGAGAACGAGAGTGAGAATCCCAAGCGGGCTCCACGCTCAGCGCAGATCTCACAACCGAGGTCATAGCTTGAGCTGGAATCAAATGTTTGATGCTTAACCCACAAGCCACCATCACCTGGTACTCATCATGACACGTGCACTGCTGAATCCCCATCACCTGTTTAACCCATTCCCCCACCCACCTCCCCACTGGTAACCATCAGTTCTCTATAGTTAGGAGTCTGTTTCTTGGTTTGCCTCTCTTTTTTTCTCCTTTGTTTTCTGAAATCTCACATATGAGTGAAATCCTATGGTATAGGTCTTTCTCTAACTTATTGTGCTTGGCATTATACTTTCTAGCTCCAACCACGTGATTGAGAATGGTAAGATTTCATCCTTTTTGATGGCTGGGTAACATTCCATTTGTGTGTGTGTGTGCGCGTGCGTGCACGCATGTATATACGTGCTTGAGCTGATTCCATGATTTGACTATTGTAGATAACGCTGCTATAAATGTTGTGGTGCATGTATCCCTTTGAATTGGCATTAGTATTTTTGTATTCTTTGGGTAAATGGCCTAATAGTGCTATTGCTGCATCATAGGGTACTTCTATTTGTAAGTCTTTGAAGAATCTCCCTACTGTTTTCCAGAGTGGATGCACCTGTTTGCATTCCCACCACCAGTGCATGAGGGCTCGTCTTTTTCTTGGACATACCTTATTAATCTCAGTTTCTTCATTTGTCCAGTGGCGTTAATAACACAAGTTTCCTGTTAAAAGTACTGTAATTTTAAAAGGGCTTTGCATAGTGCCTGTTATGTGATGTCTATTATTACCTTGC